CTCTCTCTCTCTCTCTCTCTCTCTCTCTCTCTCTCTCTCTCTCTCTCTCTCTCTCTCTCTCTCTCTCTCTCTCTCTCTCGTTTTGGCAGTCCATCCAGTAAGCAAATAAACATTAATATAACGTTGTTGTGATAATATTCAGTAACATGTAACGTTGTTTAGTATATGGATTTTAACGTTGTAATCGACGTCATTATGAAAAAACTTTTACACTAATTTTAATGTTATAATAACATTAAAATGGAAGTGTCTTAACATTGTGAAGAATATTTTTCTTGTTCAATCAGACGATTGAGTTCAAATCAACTCCCTCTTTACATCGTGACTAGATGAATTTCTTACAAGAAATTACGACACCTATCGGTCGCACGTAAAGCTTGCAATAAAATGTGTAACATATCTATTAAAACCGTTACAGCGGTTATAAAACATTGACAGAACGTTACCAAAATTGATATAAAGTTAATATTTCTAAATGTTGATTTACCTAACGTTTCTTGTTTATTGGGCATCTAGTTTCTAATGAAGAAAGTGCTAAAAAGTTGACAGTTTTAGGGGAAAATATATGTATACACTACGAAGAGTTAAAAAGATATATATTTTTATGACTTTTTAAATAAAAATTAGTAAAGATTATTCCAGAGAGAGTTTTCTTGGGTTTTTATATACTTTAGTAAATGTAAAAATTGAAATATTTTACTAAATATAACTAAATTTTGAAATAAAATTATTAAGAAATGGCAATTATCAAAGTTTGTTAGTTGCTGTAGTGGTGTGTGTGCGTGCGTGCGTGCGTGCGTGCATGCGAGGAAAGTAATAGATATTCTCGCTGTTTTTTATGAACTCAGTTATGACTTTATTTTTGTCCAACATTGATATTGAAAAATTATCGCCTAGTTGTACAAGTCTCTGAACGTCCGGTGGAATTTCAATCGAAGTCATGTTTATAAACCACTTGTCTTTAATTAGAGGAGAAGGTGAGGGTTCTGGAAATTTGTGAGGGTCAATTGTTACTGCGTGTGAAAAAGAAGGAGAGAAAAAAGGATTGGATGTTTGTGAGGAATATGTAATTTTGGAAGGAGGCATAGAAGGTCGAGATGGAAAAGAGACATGATATTGCATGGGACGGATGTTGGATTTAATTTTGAAGTTGTGTTCTTTTATAATTGAATTTTTTTATCAATCTATCTCTTTCGTTAACAAAATAAGATTGCAGTGGTCTGTTTTGTGTGTTAAAAAATTATTACTTAAATAATCAGGTAACATCTGAATAATAAGCCGCACTAGTTATTAATTTTGTATGCGTAGAAAGCGGATGTGGCCATAGGCATCATAGATTTCGTTGCGCATCATACTCGTGGCAAATCTTCATAATATAACATTAAACTTATTGATTGACACATTTGAATGCAAATTAAGTGTATAATTATTAAACCGGTTTATATGTGGTAATAAAATATCATTGTTGATACAGTTCTTTAAAATTTTGATACGTGAGAACATTTTTGAAATGTCTTTTTGAGAGTTTATCCAAGATTTCATGAAGCTGAGTTCCTGAAGATGACCCTAAATAAGGATCGAAACGTTCAAGATTAAATACAATTATCGACAACTATAACGAAGTGTTGATTTCTGCGCAACACCCACAGCGCTTGGTTTCCAAGTAGCCCGTTACCTGCCTTCTTTATTTATAATATTTATAATATAGTTTTTATTTATTAATACGGTGTCGAAGAAAACATATTTAAAATTTAAAACATGAGCATTGGTTATCTTTCCAAATTTATAGGAGGGTGGGAGGGAGGGAGGGAAAGAGAGAGAGAGAGAGAGAGAGAAAGAGAGAGAGAGAGAGAGAGAGAGAGAGAGAGAGAGAGAGAGTGTGTGTGTGTGTGTCTTTGTTAAAATAAAAATAAATTAGGAAGATATAAATTTAAAACATGATTATTATTCAACAGGATGGATTTCAGTCCTTTCACAAGACACACAATTTGGGCGCTTACTATAGGTGCTTTCGTACATTGGTTGCAAATCACCGCCATTAATCAGAATATGATTCAACGATATTTAGCTCTTCCTACTTTGCAATCAGCTAGAAGGTATTCTATTTTAATAATATAAATATTTTTATAAAAACAACGATACATTTTCTATAGAAAAATAGAAAAAGAACAGAGAAATTGCTATGTAAATTTTGTATTTACAAAATGAACTTATTTTACAGATATCTCATAAGTAATAAATAAGTATAACATTATATGTGTGTATATAATTATTTTCAATGTTTGTTCAATGTTAAATCAATATTTTTAACAATTGCACATTTTAGAGCACTTTGGTGTTTTACGATTGGAGTTGTAATTCTGATTAGTATCTGTGGATATGCTGGTATGCTAATTTACGCCTGGTATCATAAATGTGATCCTCTTACGACTAAGGTATCATTTATATTAAATGTTTAACATATTCAATATTAAAGTTGAAATATACTAATGCATATATATGTAACACAGTTGGCACGTGCTAAGGATCAGCTATTACCGTTGTTAGTTATGAACGTTTTAGGAGAATTTCCAGGACTGCCCGGTCTTTTCGTGGCTGGTGTATTTAGTGCCGCACTTAGGTAACTATATTGATATATTTTAATAGAATTTAACAAAATTCTGTATAAAAAAAGGCGTGTTAAGTCGATAGTCAAAAGTCTTGAAGTATGGTTGTCGCTTTACCGAGATGCTGATTGGCTGTCTCGCTTGTGCGATACGACATGTTTTAGTCGTGTCATTTGCAGCTGCTAAACCATGCGAATTTTTAGAGAGAACAAATGGCGCGCGCGAAGAGCGCGCTTGTGTTGTCTAGTAAAATAAAATATACAGGGTGAGTTATATCTTTTTTTACAATGCTCGTGAGAAGATGGAACGGATCGAAATGAACAGAAGAGTCCTGTGTATTTTCAATTTTCGCAATAGATAACGAGTAATTAATTATTAAAAGTTATCGTCCTAGCCCGGCCCATCACCCAATTCGAGCGCGTGGCGAGATGTGACCGCCCGGCGATCGACATTACGTGCGTGTGCGTGTGTGTGTGTGTGCTTTTAGCAAGATCCGTACAGGGTATTTCGGCAACATACACATCAGCAAGTTGGGTTGCCTATCTGCTTACCGACAGGGGCATGCTTTATCGGGCTCACAGAATAAGATCAGATGCAAGTTCGGTGGTTTTCTAATTCTTATACAGTGTATGTGCAGTTGTATTTTAATAGATAAAATAATATAGAATACAAAATTTAATGAAGAAATTTGAACAAAAATATTTTTATTTTATAATATAAAATTATAATACAATAATATTATTTTAAGTATTAAAATACAACTGCACATACACTGTATAAGAATTAGAAAACCGCCGAACTTGCATCTGATCTTATTCTTTGAGCCCGATAAAGTGTGCCCCTGACGGCAAGCAGATAGGCAACCCAACTTGCTGATGTGTATGCTGCCGAAACACCCTGTACATATCTCACTCATTTAAATTCAGTGTCGAAAAATACGGTGTCCAATAATGCAGTATCCAATACTAACGTGTCTAACAGTACGTGTCCAATCGAGTGGTGTCCAATAGTTACGTGTTTAAACGGGACACGCTCCTACTTTCTTTCAGTTCGTTATCAACCGGTCTAAATTCCATGGCAGCCGTGGTGCTCGAAGACTTTGTTAAGCCTTTTAAAAAGACTCCTTTTACACGCAGAGGTGCCGACATCTTTATGAAGCTGACAGTTGTCGTTTTAGGAGCAATCTGTGTTGCTCTCGTTTACATAGTTGAACAAGCAGGCACTCATATGCTGCAGGTAAATATGAAGACATTCGTATACAGGGTGTGTCCTAATACCCGTATGTCCCGTGGATGGTGGATAGACCGGGGCAAACTGAATAGAAAAGTCCTATACCATTTTGCAAAATTCGCAATAGTTATCGAGAAATTAATTTTAATGTCTGAGCGAATGAGAGCGTAGAAGGCGGCAGGCCGGACTCGGCAGGCAACGGTGGGGCATCATCTAATAACAAGAGGTGGAGCGGCGCGCCGAAAAAAAGTTGTAACGCAGCGAGCGGCGAGCTTTTTTGATAACTTTTTTCGGCGCGCCGCTCCACCTCTCGCTATTAGATGATGCCCTACCGTTGCCTGCCGTGTCCGGCCT